TATTGGTGTCACTGGGGATGTCAGCGGCAGTTAGTCAGTCGTCGTCGTCGTCTCCCCCCCCCCCCCCAGTGTCAGAATGCCCACTGCAGTCCCGCTATTAAGTCACTGATCGCCGCCATTACTAGTATAAAAAAAATTTAAATCCCAGTATATATACCGCCATTTGTAAATGCTATAACTTTCACGTAAACCAATTAATTTGCACATATTGGGATTTTTTTTTTAGGAAAGACATGGAGTAGAATAAATTTTGACCTAAATTTATGACAAAATTTTATTTTTTTACTGGACAAAAAGTCAAAAATATTGTTTTTCTTTTCAAAATTGTTGGTCTTTTTTTGTTTATAGTGCAAAAAAATAAAAACTGCACAGGCGATCAAATACCACCGAAAGAAAGCTCAATTTGTGGGGGAAAAGGACATAAATTTTATTTATCTACAATGTTGCATGACCGTGCAATTGTCAGTTAAAGTAACGCAGCACCGTATCGGAAAAAAATGGCTTAGTCAGGAAAGGGGGTAAATCCTTTGGAGGACACAGTGGTTGTGAAGGCTGAAGGTTTTTTTCCCTCCATGTATACTTTGCATGAAGGTATTATTATTATACAGGATTTATATAGCACCGACAGTTTGCTCAGCGCTTTACAATAGAACGGGAGACAATACAGTTCAATACAAGAAGGTTAGGAGGGCCCTGATCCTGGGAGCTTACAATCTAAGAGAAAAAAAACATCCGTTTGTAGCAGCCCTCTTTTAACATGTACCTGAGCGCCTTCCGGATCCATTGATGTTCTTGAGAGCCTCAGTTCTCCAGGGACTCTCTCTCCTAGTTGGCTGAGGCAGCAGTGGGAGTCATTGGCTCCCACTGCTGTCAATCACAGCCAGTGAGCCAAGCATGAGACAGAGTGGGCGATTCCGAGCCTCAAATCTGTGTGTGAACGGACACACAGAGCCGCGGCTCGGGAGCCCCCATAGCAAGCTGCTTGCTGTGGGGGCTCCCGACAGGAGGGAGGGGTTAGTGGGGGACCCGAGAAGAGGAGGATCCAGGCTGCTCTGTGCAAAACCACTACACACAGCAGGTAAGTATAGACATATTTGTTTAGTATCAATTTAAGGAAGGGTGGGCTCCCTCCAGGCACACCTGCCCTTAACCTATCTATTCTATAAATCACGGGTGTCAAACCGGCGACGCTCCAGCTGTTGCCAAATTAAAAGTCCCATGAGGCATTGCAAGATTGACAGTTACAAGCATGACTCCCAAAGGCAGAGGCATGATGGGACTTGTAGTTTTGCAATAGCTGGAGGGCCGCCAGTTTGACACCCCTGCTATAGGTGCTCCCACTATGGAGGATCGGAAAATGATAAGAGTTAGGACTGCATATACAGAGGTCCCTTGACATGCGCACTGCTACTTACGCATGCATTTGCAAATGTGTGCAAACAAAACCCTCTGTTTTTAAAGTAAATGGTTAACAATTCGGTTGTTTTGCAGGCTGGCTGGTAACTGTGCTGGGAAATCTTTTGTTCATTTGCGATATGCCATATTGCAGACCTACGGATGATATCGCTGGGTCCCTGTGCTTCTTTATGCAATGCAGGCAGATCATGGTTATGGGGGGGCCAGTAGGGTCCTTGTATGTAGCTTCCTGAAAACATCACATCAATGGGAGGGCTCTGGGAGGAGTTATGCAAATATCAAGACGCCTTGATTGGTGGATGTTGGTCTTGAGGAGTGGGTGTTCCTAGGCAGGCTGCATTTGCATGCAGTGTGGTCTTATGTTCTGCATGAAACTACCCTAAGTCCCCAGTCACCCTGGACATGAATTGGCATGCGATTTGCAAATTGAATGCCAAGTTGCACTCTATTGTCTGCAATTGCAGCGGTTATATCGGTGCGGTTTCCGACTTGGTCAGAGCTGCACCGATTTCTAAAGTAGTACATTTTGGTGCGATTGGCATAGACATCTGTGTCATATGTCTTGCAAATTGCACCTGTAATCGGCATGTCATCCGACTTTGAAATCGTGCAATTTTCCTGTAAGTTTTACGATTTCCAAGTCGGGTTTGGTGTGGCCGAGGTGTAAGTCAACGGTCAAACCGCTATGATGTGTGTGCCATTTCAGCACGATCTCAGGTGCCATTTCTGAAGACTTTATTGGTACTTGTGAAGATTTTCAACGATTTCTGGCAATTTGCAGTGCAATTTCCATTCTATTCTATGTATGGGAAATTGCAACAAAACTGCAGAAAAAAGTAAGGCAAAGAACGACTTTAGCAATGGCGCTGCAGCAAATCACACGTGTTAGGACACTGATATTCACATTCATTAGATGTAATTTCAGTTCACAAAGCGCACCAGTATGACCAAGCACTAAGTTACAAGCACATGTGGTGCTGAACCTCCATGATTAAAACAACCGAAATCCAATGAATGAGAGGGATGGGCCAGGGACGGTAGGGCTAGGGAAGACGGGGCTAGACACCCTCCAGCCAAGAAATGAGACAGGCCCAGCCTTGCCTTCAAAGGGTCTCTAAAGCCAAAACAGTGGGGAGGAGTTACAACCTCATGGGATCACCCATGGAGCTTGAGGGACTCTTACTCCATCACCCCTGCTGTTAGGGAAAGTCAACCACCTGAAGGCTTGAGGGGCTCTTACTCCATCATCCCTGCTGTTAGGGAAGGTCAACCACCTGAAGGCTTGAGGGGCTCTTACTCCATCACCCCTGCTGTTAGGGAAAGTCAACCACCTGAAGGCTTGACTTTGTAATGGGGTGACTTTATAGATCTGGAGGGGGGGGGGCTCCATAAAATGTTGGCATTGCCTTGAAGGAGACTTTGACTAAAACCCTTAAAGGAGATCACAACCCTCACGTGTCACCATCTTCCTCTGAAGAAGTGGTCTTTGCTCCAATAAACGTGTCGGTAAAGGAACATCTAGATCAGGGGTCTCCAAACTTTCTAAACAAAGGGTCAGCATCAAGATTGACAGTTACAAGCATGACTTCCAAAGGTAGAGGCATGATGGGACTTGTGATTCTGCAACATCAGTTTGACATCCCTGCTTTTAGAGCATAGGTGTTCAACCTGTGGCCCTCCATCTGTTGCAAAACTAGAAGTCCCATCATGCCTATGTAGTTGCGCAACAGCTGGAGGGCCGCCAGTTTGACATCTCTGACTTAGAGGAACTGCGCCCCTTTGTTGGTATCCGTGAGAGGACACATGCTCAATTGTTGGCGTCGGTGGCAAAAATTTAGGCCCATCATTGTTGTCATTTGGAGGAACTGCGTCCGTTCATTGGTGCCATTGAGAGGATATATACTCAATTGTTGGTGTCAGGAATAGTGCCCCATCATTGGAATCATTTAGAGAAACTGCGCACTTTCACTGGTGTCATTGAGAGGACATATGCTCAATTGTTGGTGTCCGTGCCAAGAATAGTTCCCCATCATTGGAATCATTTAGAGAAACTGCACACTTTCATTGGTGTCAGTGAGAGGACATATGCTCAATTGTTGGTGTCAGTGGCAAGAATATTGCCCCATCATTGGTGTCAAGCAAGCGAAGGGCCACATCCGGCCCCCAGGCCACAGTTTGGAGACCACTGGCCTAGATCGCAGTATAAAACCATAAGAGTTGAGTGGAAGTCTATATAGCTCATGTGCTTCTCAAGTATGAATATGTAATAATACAGGCACAGAAACTCCTTTGATACAAAAAGGAAACACAAGCACAAATTTTATCTGTGAAAACGTTTTTAAAGTTTAATTTGAAATGTTCGAAATACAATGTAGCATTTTTCTTTTATCCAAAAACAATATGCCATCACTTTTTGTCTTTTTAAATACAATAAAAATTCCAATTCAATAAAAAGGTTTTAAAAGAGTTATTTGGGTATCATATGTGCCGATAGGGGTATGTCATCATTATTTAATCAGCTGTCTGTATAATCTGAGCTCCCTGCTGGTCAGTACTAAAGCACAACAGGTGTAGAAAGAGCCTTTTAGAGCACGGGTGTCAAACCGGCGGCCCTCCAGCTGTTGCTAAACTACAAGTCCCATGATGCATTGCAAGGCTGACAATTGCAAAAATGGCTCCCAAAGGTAGAGGCATGATGGGACTTGTGATTCCACAACAGTTGGAGGGCCACTAGTTTGACATCCCTGCTTTTAGAGCATAGCTGCTCAACCTGTGGTCCTCCAGCTGTTGCAAAACTAGAAGTCCCATCATGCCTCTGCCTTTGGGAGTCATGTTTGTAACTGTCAGCCTTGCAATGCATCATGGGACTTGTAGTTTTTGCAACAACTGGAGGGCCACAGGTTGACCACCTATGCTTTAGAAGAGCAGGGCTCTCCAAACTATGGCCCTCCAGGTGTTGAGGAACTTCAAGTCCCATGAGGCCTTGCAAGACTCTGGCAGTCACAAGCAAGACTCCCATGGGACTTGTAGTACTTCGACAGCTGGAGGGCCACAGTTTGGAGACCCCTGCTTTAGAGGACGATTCTTGCACAGAACTGGCTTCTGGCAACTAATAAATATGAAATATTCCAAGACAAATTGTAACCAGGTAAAGAGAAATAAAGAATATTTTTTTTCAAAACGCCTTTACTTTTCCAAACGTGAACAGAGAAAGAAAAAACAATATCAATATAAAAGTAGAACACATTGCCTGCGATTTGACAGCAAGTGGTTATGAAATAGCACATCCTTCCTATAGGTAAAACATAACTTCAACCAGAATGCTCTTTGATGGACATAGAAAATACGACCTCTTCCCTTCTTCATTATGATTCGATGGATAATCCAACCGCCATACAATCATCAAAAATAACCAACGTGGGAGGAGCGATGAAGGCTCCATGGTGAAGACAATCATTAGTAAGGGACATCCTAGCCAACTGATCCATTCCCCAGCAGCCTTGGACATTGGAGAAGAGCCTACAGGCCCAGCAACCATTCCAGATCCATCCATACAAGAAAACCCTCGCCAAAGGGCAACCATGCTACGTGCTCGTCAAAGACTTCTCTCTGAGGTGACGCCTCTGATGCAGGACTAGCTGACCTCTACAGCGGTAACACCGACCGCACTCCAAACACAGGAACAAGGTCTCTGGTCTATGCGTCTTTTTGTGAGCAAGAAGGTCGGCGGTGCTTGGGAACACTTGACCACATTTGGAACAGCTAACGGTGCACTTCTCTGGGTGGGTGACCTCGTGGGCCACCAAATGGGCTGTCCGCAGGAAGCACTTTCCGCACACCAAGCACTGGATCGTCTTTCTTTTGGAGTGCGTCCTGGAATATCTCGTGAGGTTGGCGATGTCACCAATTGTGGAATTAGGGGGATTCTGGTAGACGACTTCTATCTCGCTCAGCAAACTTGCCGAGCTGGGTTGAATTGCAGAGGGATGGTCAGTTGTAGAATGACTGTTGAGGACTGTGGCATTTTGCCCTTCATGTGAGTGGGGAGCCTCCTTAATAAGGACTGTAATAATTCCATCGTCCTCTGTGAGTTCCTCCGTAACAAAATCAGATGTGTAATGCGTCCGAGAAGTTGATGTGGATTTTTGCATGTGTGGAAGACGTTCCTTTGGTGATATAGGATCCTCTGGAGTTGACATGTTTTCCATACACAAGTCTGGCTCCTTTTTTTATAGAATCGGTTATGTAGTCTAAGGTGGTGGGCGGGTGGCCTTTGTCATGCTGTTGGGGTTCCTCCTCAATACGAGGAGAGGTATACAGTGTAAAATCTGTACAGTGTCCATCGACAACCAGAGAGTCCTCCCTGTCTTTATCAGCAACTGTTGAGCAATCCATGGCATTGGTGGCATCTCCATCTGCAAATACAACATAACAAGAGTTACAGCCCATATACAATGACCAATACATCCCTATAGGGCCAATGCAACAAACTACAATTCCCATCATGCAATGGGAATTGCAGTTAGCGTGCACAAGGGTGAGATTGTAGGTGAGTTGTGACAGATCCTACGTGTACAAGTCATGGCCTTTAGACAACGCCCAAAGCATTCCATCCTGCCTATTCATATACCCTACCAATCATTTCTGGCAGGCATGACAGACCATCTCCTAGCCTGTAAGTTAAGTTATGACACAAGTCATTGTTACCCTGGGCTGTCGGTCATGTTATGATGTCATTAAGGGGGGGGGGTCAGTCAAGGTACGATGTCATTGAGGGGGTGGGACAAACCAGGAAGCCCCAGGCCTGTCAGTCAAGGTATGACATCATTGTGGAAATGGGACACACCAGGAGGCCCCTGGCCTGTCAGTCAAGTATGATGTCACTATGGAAGTGGGACACACCAGGAGGCCCCTGGCCTGTCAGCCAAGTATGATGTCTGTTGATGGGGGACAAACTAGGAGGCCCTTGGCCTGTCGGTCAAGGTATGACATCATTATGGAAATGAGACAAACCAGGAGGCCCCAGGCCTGTCAGTCAAGGTATGACATCATTGTGGAAGTGGGACAAACCAGGAGACCCCAGGCCTGTCAGACAAGGTATGGTGTCATTGTGGGAGTGGGACAAAGCAGGAGGCCCCTGGCCTGTCAGTCGTGGTATGATGTCATGGGGGGGTGGGACAAACCAGGAGACCCCAGGCCTGTCAGTCAAGTATGATGTCACTATGGAAGTGGGACAAACTAGGAGACCCTTGGCCTGTCAGTCAAGGTATGAGGTCATTGTGGAAGTGGGACAAACCAGGAGGCCCCTGGCCTGTCAGCCAAGTATGATGTCTGTGGATGTGGGACAAACTAGGAGACCCTTGGCCTGTCAGTCAAGGTATGACATCATTATGGAAATGGGACAAAACCAGGAGGCCCCTGGCCTGTCACTCTGGAAGTGGGACAAACCAGGACGCCCCAGGCCTGTCAGTCAAGGTATGACATCATTGTGGAAGTGGGACAAACCAGGAGACCCCAGGCCTGTCAGTCAAGGTATGATGTCATTGAGGGGGTGGGACAAACCAGGAGGCCCCTGGCCTGTCACTGTGGAAGTGGGAAAAACCAGGATGCCCCAGGCCTGTCAGTCAAGGTATGACATCATTGTAGAAGTGGGACAAACCAGGAGACCCCAGGCCTGTCAGTCAAGGTATGATGTCATTGTGGGAGTGGGACAAACCAGGAGGCCCCAGGCCTGTCAGTCAAGGTATGATGTCATTGTGGAAATGGGACAAACCAGGAGGCCCCTGGCCTGTCACTGTGGAAGTGGGAAAAACCAGGACGCCCCAGGCCTGTCATTCAAGGTATGACATCATTGTGGAAGTGGGACAAACCAGGAGACCCCAGGCCTGTCAGTCAAGGTATGATGTTATTGTGGGAGTGGGACAAACCAGGAGGCCCCTGGCCTGTCAGTCATGGTATGATGTCATTGAGGGGGTGGGACAAACCAGGAGGCCCCTGGTCTGTCACTGTGGAAGTGGGAAAAATCAGGACGCCCCAGGCCTGTCAGTCAAGGTATGACATCATTGTGGAAGTGGGACAAACCAAGAGACCCCAGGCCTGTCAGTCAAGGTATGATGTCATTGTGGGAGTGGGACAAACCAGGAGGCCCCTGGCCTGTCAGTCATGGTATGATGTCATTGAGGGGGTGGGACAAACCAGGAGGCCCCTGGCCTGTCACTGTGGAAGTGGGAAAAACCAGGACGCCCCAGGCCTGTCAGTCAAGGTATGACATCATTGTGGAAGTGGGACAAACCAAGAGACCCCAGGCCTGTCAGTCAAGGTATGATGTCATTGTGGGAGTGGGACAAACCAGGAGGCCCCTGGCCTGTCAGTCATGGTATAATGTCATTGAGGGGGTGGGACAAACCAGGAGGCCCCAGGCCTGTCAGTCAAGGTATGATGTCATTGTGGAAGTGGGACAAACCAGGAGGCCCCTGGCCTGTCACTGTGGAAGCGGGACAAACCAGGACGCCCCAGGCCTGTCAGTCAAGGTGTGACATCATTGTAGAAGTGGGACAAACCAGGAGGCCCCTGGCCTGTCAGTCATGTATGTCACTGTGGAAGTGGGACAAACTAGGAGGCCCGTGGCCTGTCAGTCAAGGTATCACGTCATTGTGGGAGTGGTGCAAACTAGAAGGCCCCTGGCCTGTCAGTGAAGGTACAATGTCATTGAGGGGGTGAGACAAACCAGGAGGCCCCAGGCCTGTCAGTCAAGGTATGACATCATTGTAGAAGTGGGACAAACCAGGAGGCCCCTGGCCTATCAGTCAAGGTATGATGTAATTGTGGAAGTGGGACAAACCAAGAGTCCTCTGGCCTGACAATAAAGATATGTAGTCATTGTGGAAGTGGGACAAACCAGGAGTCCCCTGGCCTGTCGCTCAAGACCTTATTTGTTTTTGTGGGAAGCAAAGCATCACAGGAGTCGTCAGACTGTATATCAAATTATTTAGTGAGATTGGATGGGATAGCATGGGAGTCCGAGACGCCAGGGTCCTCCCACTACAACAAACAGAAATGGGGAAGTTATGTGACCTGTGGCCCAAGGATTACCAGTATCACTTCTACAATTCTCAGACACATGTGGAAGTTGTGCTGTAACATCTCTTCTTACCTTGAGATGGGCAGGTCTGGGGCTCCTCCATCATAATGTCCCATGAGATTTCTTCATGGCCTTTTCAGGTCACCTAACCTGGCAACACACACAAGGAGGCAGTCACCATCAAGAGAGGTCTGTTACTGGAGACTGTCCACTGTTCCCAGAATCCAGCCTCACCTCCTCAGCCAGAAGCTCAGTTGGCAGACCTGGTCTTTGACATTTCCCTGCGGTATCAGGGAGGGGGGGAGGGGACAAGGTGGTCAGGTATTGGATTCCCTGCTGAGGACTGACAGGACCTAACATTTACATATAGACAATGAACATCATTGTCCATCTATTTAGAAAATCTGTTGGTTGGGTGTTGTCTTGCTGCACTGAGGTTCCTACCAGTCCCCTCAATGTGTATTATTGTCCATCTCTGAGGCTGGTTGGCCTTGAATGGGCAAAATGAGAGGTTCTCCCTGCTGTCAATCTCCTTCCCTACGCACTTCTGCCTGTTGGAGCCTTCAGAAGTACCTGGTACTTCCGGGTATGGGGGACCGCATGACCAGCTCCCCTCCTTCCCAGGATGCACTGCTCAGCTCTAAGTAGCCAATAGGCAGGCTCAAACCTTGTCATCAGGAGGACAGGAAAAGGTCATTTCCCCTGTATATGCTCTAACACTGAATACAAGGCATCAGACCGAGGTGAGCGGAGGAGTCCGGAGGAAGTGTCAGTTAGGCAGGCAGTATGCGAACAATAAAGAGAACCTGTCACCTGACCCTAAATGGGTTCTCTCTTTCCTACTTACAGTGATCATAACTTGAAGGATTAGTTCACCTTCATCGGAAAACTGCCTATGCTGTTAGGGGGCGCCTGTAGATAAAAACCAAACTGTGCAACTTTGGCCAAGGTTGGATAATATCCTTCCTATAGGTGTGGGCCCTTTATGTACCTCCCGAAACCTGACTAATAATTCCCAGAGATCCCATCAAGACTTGTTGCTAGGATGTTTCTAAGACACTCCCAGCTGTTAATACTCACCCCCATCATGACTGGAGTGAGCTCTACAGCCCTGCACATTCTCCATCGCTGAGCTCAGAAGCACTGCAACAGTAAGAGAGAGCGAGCGTGTGATGGTGGGGTTGAATTAGCTGGTAGTGCCTTAGCAACATCCTAGCAACAAGGCAGAATGGGAGTGTCACGGTATAGGGGCCCGGCCAATTATCAATTCCTGCTTACTGATCCGGAGTGTCACGATATGAGTTCTCTGCCAGCCCAGTTATTAATCCCCAGGTATTAATTCCTTGTTCCTAATCCCTCCTGGCCATAGGAAGAGCCTCCTCCAATTAATATTCACTCCTGTGTGCCAAAGGCCCCTAGCTGTAATTAAGGCTCCCCCTCCACAAAAGGTCCCAAATTCAATTAGTGTATACATCCCTAATTAGTGCCTTACTTTTGTATTAATGTATTTTCCCCACTGTTACACTGTTTACAGCTGCAGATTAAATTATTTTGTCCATCCTGTTCAACAAGTCATTTGCCTAATTCTAATATCCTCCCCACTAATTAGTGCCTTACTTTTGTATTAATGTATTTCCCCCACTGTTACACTGTTTCCAGTTGCAAATCCAATTATCCTGTTTCAGTGTCCAGCCTGTCCAACCAGTATTTTCTGTTTACAGCTACAAATTAAATTACTGTAGTTCCATTCCTGTCCATTCTCTTCATTGTCACCTGCTAATGACCCCCCCCCCCCCACTCTCATCCTGCTCAGGGGGTTTAAGAGGCCAGTACTGGTCTGTCTTGTGGAGCCATTGTGCTGGGCAACCACTGAGGGGTCCAGCTGGACTCTAGTGGCCCCCCCGCACTGCCTGAGCCCCACTGGAGGAAGGGGGACCCCAGAAGCTACATCAGCCCTGCCTGAATCGCTATCAGCTTTGCCACTACCACATCAACTCTGCCTGAGACCACCACATCAGCTTTGCGTGAGTGTATGCTTCCCTTGTGCTATCTGACTGCTTATGAACTGCCTCTTGGAGTACAAATTGCTGTAGAGACTTTAACTTTGCCCGCCGGGGCTGGATTACAAGTATTTTGGACTCTCTCTCCCTGCACTACTCCCCACTGAGTGACTGTTGTCTGTTTTAATAAAGCTTTAAGTGTTTGCTGTCTGCCTTGTGTGTTCTGTCCCACTTACCCTCCGTCACAGGGATGATGCCACCTCAGTCAGGCTTCGGGAGGTGCATAAATGGCCTACACCTCTAGCAAGGGCATTATGTAACTTTTGCCAAAGCTGCACAGCTTGTTTCCATCTACAAGCACCCCGTACCTGCATAGGGTTTTCCTTAAAGGGGAACTATGACTTTAAGGCCAACAATACTCATGCGTAGCCCCCTACGGACAGCTTTTTGGTGTCAGGGACCGGCGGCGACACTTCTACGTCGCAGTAGGAACGCCACCCAGGTTCTGGCTATAACAAGCAATCAGAATTTATTTTCTTGCTCTACAGCTGCTGTATACGGCAATCAGAATGGTTGCTCAGGGTTATGGGCCCTTTTAAATAAGCCTGCCAGTACTGTAATTACTCAGAGCTGTTCAGATTGGGGTGTAAGTGGTTGCTATGGGCAACAGAGGTCCCCATTCAGCTGGTATGATAAATGAGTGCATAGCTCTGCACCCCGCCCTCTCTCCGGCAAAATAATCACATTTTTATTCCTATTCAGCAGCCCACAATTAAACCTGCACTCACCAGCTTCCAACCCATGTAGCCCTTTAAAGCCGGAAGTACCCTCCTCCCTTTTACTTCCGGGTCTTGCTGAGACGGTACGGGGAGCGCCTGTACTAGTCGAGCTGCTGCAGAGAACGCCGACCTGAGTCTTCTACTGGCCGAAAGGCGCAACTACATAAGCTTGGCGTCACTATAGCAACCAGGAAGCACGGCAGGATTGCCCTGGAACGCATGCGGCGGAAGCGAGGGAGCCACAGGGCGGAAGTGACTTAATAATAGTGATAATAAATTATACACACATATATACATATATACACACACACATATATATATATATATATATATATATATATATACATATATATATATATATATATATATATATATACGTACATATATACCAGGGGCGGACTGACAACTCATGGGGCGCCTGGGCAATAGGGGATCATGGGGCCCCTGTGTCCTTGCCCAAACTCAAAAAAGCCTATGAAAAAGGTACCAGGGGCATCTCACGGGGGCCCCTACTGACCCCAGGCCCCTCGGGCAGTGCCTGAGTTTACAAATGGTCAGTCCGCCTTGATATATACATATATATATATATATATATATATATATATATATATATATATACACACAGATATAGATCACCCAATTTTAGGATTCATCAATTTGACATGTTGTAACAATGTAACCAAAATATTTCTCAATGACTGAGGTGACCGGGTTTTCAAAATGAAATCTGGGGACACCCTGCCGACCCTACCGACTTTAACCACACCCACAACACCACACCCGCATTTCAGTGCATATTTAAAACGCATAAACAATATAGCCCCAGCACGTTTTTGATGCGTTTTAAAGCATTTTGTGCTTTTTTCAGCTTTTTTCTGTTTTTAAGTGGATTTTTTTTTGTGGCTGGGCCAAATAAAAATACAAAACATGGCAAAAACGCGCTACCATGCATCTCAGCAGCTTCGCAATTGAACTCTATTGTGGCAAAAAAAGCTGCTTTTTGCGTCTGAAAAAGTCCCCGACCCTTTCCAAAAACGCAGTGGCTCAAAAAAGCGTAGAGGTGGGGGGGTGTGTCCAAGATGGCGACCGGAGCGGCCGCATAATCCAGAGCTCCGGCGCCGACCCACACAATCCGCTGCCATCCGTGCAGCTGCGGACCACAACGCGGCAGCGGAGGCCCTTGGTGACATCCCCTGTATCTGGGCGACATTTCCGCCCTCTGTAGCGGCGGACATCCGTGGCCTGGCGTGGCCACATGATCCAGGACTCCGGCACCTCGTACCTGAACCCACTGCCATCCGGGCAGCGGTGGATCACCCAAGGACATCAGAGGCACCCTCTGCACCCCCTGAGTCTGGGAGAGGGGCGCCGCTGTATATTGCCGCTCCCTGTGGTGGCGGGCATCTGCGGCCTACTCCACCTGATACGAACCTCCTCTCAGCTGAGCCACAGTGAGTATAGGAGGCAAGGGGGCTGGCGGCTACTGATCATTGGGTTCCCCTCCAGTGACTCAGGAAACGGGGCTCCCATTCACTGCTCCAGAAACCGCCTTCCTCTGTGGCCAAGGCCCCTGTTGGGCCCAGAGGCCTACTGAGGCCTATATACTGCTCTGGTGGTGTGCCGGGGCTCCCTGGATCTGCCCTGGAGGGCCCTGGGATCATCATAGGGGGACCTCTGTTCCATACGTGCCCCCCTCGTCCCTCTCAGACCCTAAGGTGGGAGTTGGAACTATCATCTTGCCCCTGAGAGTTATTAATGGTGTTTACCGCGGCCTATGTCCTCTCTACGTCCTCACGGCTTGCTAATTATTTTTACAATATAAAGTTTTTGCGGATAAGCCTGATAGCATTTATGTAACTACAACCCAAAACCTGTTTCGGGGCGTTATAGGTCCCCTGGGGTTATCATCTCCTTTGGTTATCTAATTTCCAGTTGATCACCCCCCGGAGATTCCCTGTATGCCGTCCAACAAGAAAAAAAGGGGACAAGCTCAAAAGTCCCTCACAACATACCTACTTAAGACACAGAGATTTGCAGCATGTCTCCAGATAATACAGAACGAGCATCCCTGTCCGATCCCACACAGGATACCACAGCTCCTTCATTAGCTCTGGTCAGTGAATATACACAGCAACTTACAAAGGGGGACCTAGAATCTTGCTTGGAAACTATGTACATGTCAGGTATGGACTCAGCACTGGTGGTGGGACTCACCTGCTGTGTGGGCTGCAGTACCAGGGCTGGCCAGCGGGTGCTCTCAGCAGCCAGAAGCTTACTCCTGCAATCAGCCATCACCTGAGGCTGATTGCAGGAGGTGTATTTAAGGA